ACACAAATCAATGAATGTGATCCATCACTGAAACAGAATTCAAATCACATGATCATCTCAGTAGATGCAGAAAAGTCCTTTGATAAAATCCATGTTAAAAATGCTGGAGAAGCTACAGCTCGAAGAAACTTACCTCAACATCATAAGGGCCTTATGACAAACCCAAAGCCCACATCATACTAAATGGAAAAAAAACTAAAACTATTTACACTAAATTCAGGAACAAAACAAGGCTGTCCACTCTCATCACTCCTATTCTATATAGTCCTCAAAACCTTAGCCAGAGCAATCAGGCAAGGAAAGGAAATCAAAGGGATGCAAACAGGAAAAGAAGTCAAACTATCTCTGTTTGCTGGTGATATGATCCCATATGTACAGGATCCACACCCCCTCCCCCCCCAAAAAAAAACCACCGCAACTTGGGAATTAACCTAACCAAGGAGGTAAAAGAGCTCTACAATGAAAATGAAAATTATAGAACACTGAAGAAACAAATTGAAGACCTTAGAAGATGGAAAAACATCCCATGTTTTTGGATAGGCAGAATTAATATTGTCAAAACAGCCATATTATCAAAAGCAATATACAGATCCAATGCAATCCCCATAAAAATACCAATGATATTCCTCACAGAATTAGAAAAGAAAAATTTCTTAAATCCATTTGGGAGAATAAGAGACTCAGAATATCCAAAGTAATACTAAGCAAGAAAAGCAGAAGTAGAAAAGTAGAGGATGACATCACAGAAGAAGCAGAAGTAGAAGGCATCATAACATGTGATCTAAATCATACTACAGATCTGCAATGACAAAAACAGCATGTACTACACAAGATAGTCGGGAAGATCAGTGGAACAGCACAGAAGAGGCAGACAGACCCACAAACCTACAGCTGTCTGATATTGAAAAAGTGTTAAAATACATCTTGGAGAAAAGATAGCCTTTTATCAAATGGTGCTGGGAAAACTGGACTGCTATATACAGAAAAAATGAAATTAGACCTCTATCTTTCACCTGCACAAAATGCAACTAAAAATGGATCAGACACTTAGGAATTACACTAGAAACTGTATGAAAAGAATAATAATAAAAGAGGAGACAGAGACAAGGTGCAGAGGCAAGGAAGGTGGCAGAGTGGATTCTCATGTAGTGTTTCACTATTTTCAAAAAGAAAGCTTGTACATTTAGAATGTTTCTACTTTTACTTTCCGTGTTGTAACATTAGGGAGGAACTAGTTAAGAAAGCTGGCTGAAAACAGATAAGATAGCCAGCCAAGCAGCTTGGATTTAAAAGAGACACTTTTTTCCTTTTGTCTTAACTGGTTTTTCATAAGCCTAGTAAATCTTGTAGGTCCTGAAACTTACATTTTAAATATAAGGCTAGGAAAATTGGAGATCCAGCATAAGTTAAAAGGTAAGTAAAACTGTTATAACCATTTTTTCTTTTCTAAGATAATTCTCTCAAAGCATGGTGTTTCAGTTTACATACTTTGTGGAGAGTTATTTTTTCTTTTTTCTTGTTGTTTTAAATCTTGCAAATTTTGTGACCGTTTCCACATATGATTGAATATAAGTAATGATTTGCTGTGAATTGGGAGGGACAGAGCATGGTAGCCACAGGGAGCTTTTGGACACCTGTATAACTGCTTGAGGAAAACACAGGGTCTTCCCTCCATCGTGTAGGTGCTGGCACAGACTTCCTGAACAAGGCCCAAAACACAAGAAACAAAACCAACAATCAGTAAGTGGGATACTATCGGACTGGGGTTGTGGCTCAGTGGTAGAGCACTTGCCTGGCCTGTGTGAGGCCCTGGGTTGGATCCTCAGCACCACATATAATAAAAGACCACTGACAACTAAAAAATATTAAGAAAAAAAAATAAGTGGGATACTCTCAAAATAAAAAGCTTCTGCACAGCTAAGGAAAGAATTAAGAGCATGATGAGAGAGCTTGCAAATGGGAGAAAATCTTGGCCTGCTACTCCTCCAATAGGAGATTAAATATCCAAAATACACAAAGAACTCAAAAAACTTAACACCAAAAATACCCAAACAACCCAATCAACAAATAGGCAAAAGAACCAAACAGAAACTTCTCAAAATAAGAAACACAAAATGCCAGTAAATACACAAAAAACATGTTCAATACCTCTAGCAGTTAGGGAAATGCAAATCAAAACTACACTAAGATTTCATCTCACTCCAGTCAGAATGTCAATGATCAAGAAGACATACAATAAATGCTGGAGAGGCTGTGGGGACAAAGGAAGACTTGTACACTGTTGGGACTGCTGCTTAGTCCAACTACTCTGGAAAGCAGTTTGTAGATTTGTTAAAAAAAAAAAACTAGGGATGGCAGCACCAGATGACCCAGCTATCCCACTCCTTGGTGTTTCCCTAAAATATCTAAAATGAGCATACTAAAACGACACAGCCACATCAATGTTTATAGCAGCACAAGTCACAAGAGCTAAACTACGAAATCAACCCAGATGCCCATCAACAGATGAATGGATTCAGCATTTGTGATAACACACACACACACACACACACGGAGTTCTACTCAGCCATTAAAAAGAATTATGGGAAAAAAAAAGAGTGGAATTTGCTGGGAAATGAGTGGAGCTGGAGACTATCATGCTAAGTGAAATTAGCCAAACTCAGAGACTCAAAGGTCAAATGTTTTCTCTCATATATGGAAGCAGAAGTAAAATAAAGAAAGGGAGAAGATAAGATTACATAAAGAACCAATCAAATACAAATTAACGGACAAGTGAAAGGAAGTCTAGTAGAAAAGAAGAGGGAGAAGGGGAGAGGGGAGGGAGGGCTGGAGGGAAAGGGGGAGAGAAGGGCTGTAGCATCAACTGAAATCAATTTCCATGATGTATGAGCTAACTGGATGAACCCGACTACTATGAATAACCATAAAGCTCTATAAAAGTAATAGTAAAATATAATGGTTAATGTGTTTTTAATAATAAAGCTCCCTACACAAGCTGACATTCTTTGCAAGAACCATAAAATCACTATAAGAAGGACACAGATCAGGGGCTGGGGCTATAGCTCAGAGGCAGAGCACTTGCCTAGCATATGTGAGGCACCACATAAAAACAAACAAAATAAAGACACACTGTCCACCTACAACTACAAAAAAAGGAAAAAAAAGAAAGAGATCATGAGGAGACAATTTACAAGAGAATAAGTCAATCAGAAAACAAATGCCAGCAAGTACATAAGAAAAACAGTATGGTCTACGGGGTAGGAGAGTGTGGATATTGAGCAGCTCTATATGGGGGTCAAGAAACACTGCCAGAGCTCCAAGCCTTGCCCCACTGTCTGCCCGATGAGAGACCCTGGACAAGTTATTTAACTCAAGACTCAAATCCTCATCTGTTGCCCAGGAATGCAGAGGTACCTACAAATGTTGCGGGGACTATGGCCCTTTGCCTAGGACCTGCACACAGTAAGTTCTTCATAAGCCAAGAGAACAGTTGGGTTTTTTTTCAATATTTATTTTTTAGTTGTAGTTGGACACAATACATTTATTTATTTATTTTTATGTGCTGAGGATCGAACCTAGGGCCTTACACGTGCTAAGCGAGTGCTCTACCGCTGAGCGCTCTACCGCTGAGCCACAACCTCAGGCGATAAAAGTTTTTAATGAGAATATCCAGTATTGTGAGTATGAAAAATCAAAATGACACTGTGCTTTGTTTCTGTCCATGGTGCTGATATGTTAACCAATGGCTGGGATCCATTACAGTGAAAGAGTACAGAGCAGAATCAGCAAAGGGAGTGGGTTAATGGGGCAAGGTCCAGTGGAAATGAAGCACAAGTTTCCTATGGATTCACAAGCAATAAACTATGGCCGACCAAACACAGGAAATGATGTCCACAAGAAAAATACCTAGAGTTAGTGCCCAGAGTTTTTACTGGGGGCTAGGAAGCTGACAAATCTATAACACAATTCAGAAATATTTAGTCTGAAAAGTGATCTTACCCTTTGACCCAGCAATCCCGTTCCTGTGACTCAGTCTTACAGCAAAAAAGGGCAAAAGTGCACATAGCATGTGCACACACACACATCACACACTCACGTTGACATTAATGTGAAATTAGAATCTAAATAGAAAATGGAATGAATAGAAATGAATATTTCAACTGAAACTTGTGAAAACAGCAGAAATATATGAATTTTATGACAATGATAATTTTCAAAAAATAAGTATAGTTACCAATAACCACATGTAGCTGTTTTTTTCATCTTTTCCTTTCTCTGAACTTTATGTAATTTAAAAAACAGTATTTTGATAAAGGAAATTTCTTCTTTTAATGTCAAAACATGAGCCCTACTGTTTCCCTGTGCTGCCATCTGGCTTCTTTTAATTCATACCCTAAGAAACCAGAAGTCTCCAAAGCTCCATGCCTCAGCGGGTGGCCTCTTCGCCTGGCTTACACCACCCTGCTGATCCCTACTCCTGGCACAGGTGTCCCACGTCCAAGGAGAAACTCGATGACTGAGGAGAAGCCAAGGAGGAATCTGGGCTGGCCTCTCTGCACAGGCCTGGGTATGGACATGTGAAGTGGACTCCGGGGACTTCAAGAGCTTGCCCCTCAGGACTGCCTGGCTCTCATGCAGAATGTGCCTACATGACAGCAGAGCAAATGCTGACAGCAGAGCAAACGCAGGTCTGCCCCAGATTTGTCTGTCTAAATCCTCTCCCCCAAGGGGATGTCATCTGGAGGTGGCACCTCTGGGAGGTAATCAGATGGAGTCCTACTGAAAGAGAAAGCAGAAAGCTTCCTCTCTGCTCCAGCTGCAGAGGACACAGAAGGCGGGCGTGCATGACCAGGAAGCAGGCCTTCCCCAGGCACCACCTGCCAGTGCCTTCATTTTGAACTTCCAACTGTGAGAGATGAGTTTTTGTTGTTCATGAACCACCCAGCATCTGGTACAGTAGCTTGAACTGTAAGAAGTAGGCCCTGTCCTTGGTCACTCACCTGGGCCCTGGCGTCGTCTTGGAGGCTCCACCATCCAGGGTGCTTTCCCTTTCTCCAGTAAGGCAATGACATTTGGCCTTCGAGAGGAAAGACCTGCACATAGGACAAGCATGGAACTGACCTCACTGTCGGCACCACAGTCAGAGCCAAGCCCTGTGTCAATGGGGTGAGGGTGTACCAGCCCAGTGGGGCACACAGGACACGGAGGGCAGCTAGAGAATGGGCACTGTGATACTGTGACTTGTAAGACACATAAACCCTCAACCCTAGAAAGTAACTGGTGGCCAGGTACTCCTGGGAGCCTCCACAAGGGTCAGAGGATCCCAGTATGTGATCAGAGGGATGGGACTTTCATCTCACCCCAGAACTCTGGAGAAGGACAGGGGCTGGACAGAGATCACTGATGGCCAATGATCTCATCAATCAGGACCACATATGAAGCCTCGACAAGGCCCAAAAAGACAGGTTGGGAGAGCTTCCTGTTGCTTACCTGTGGAGGTGGACCACCAGAGAGGGAGCAGAAGCTCCACACCTCTTCCCCTCACCTTGCCCCTGCATCTCTTCACCTGCTCTTCATCTGCATCCTGACATATCTTGATATTTAACTGGTAAAGCCTCAGTAATGTGCTTTCTTGAGTTCTGGGGTAAAACCTGAGGAGGGGACTCACGGGAACCCCAAATTTACAGTTGGGTTGGTCAGAAATCCCAGAGGCCTGAGTTGCCAGATGAGGCAGTCTTATGAGATGAAGCCCCCAGGCTGTGGGTTTGAGGCATCTCCAGGTAGTGCCAGAGCTGGACTGTCAGCCAGGCATGAGAATCGCGGGGTGTGTGGTGAAAACTCCAAACACGTGGGGCATCAGACTGTTCTGTGCTGAGTGGTGAGTGACAGTTGGAGAAATTGTTTGGTTTTTAAAGTCTTATACCAGGAGGATGCACACTCAGTTATAGCCAATAGAGTGCTCCATTCTAACTCCACAAAACCAATTATTTTCCTGAACAAGGAGGTCAGATGCTCAAAGATGGGTTAGTAGGCTACTGTCTCTCAGCTCCAAGCTCTACCCTTCTATGCTCGGCTTTGTCACACTAGGGTCGGACTTTAGCAGCTGCTTCCACTCAGTGTCCACCAAAGGGGCTCTGCTGACTTCCATCTCTGGTTTTCTTTTTGTCCCTGCACTTCCAGAACTAGCCGCCTCTGGCTCCCTCAGAAGTAAAAACCAAACAGGCAGTGCAACTCCCCTTCTCCTCAGAATATGAACCCCTGTGCTTGCATATGAATGTTCACAGCATATGAATGTTTCACAGCAGGGTGGAAATGACCCAAACACCCAGGAGCTCATGAGTGAACGAACGAACGAGATGTGATCTATCCACACAATGAAACACTACGTGGCAATGAACAGGAATGGGGTTCTGATACATGCTATAATATAGATGCACCTCAAAAACTATGCTAAGTCAAAGAGACTACATACTTTAGATTCCATTTGTATGCAAGCCCCAGAACAGGCAAGTTCATAGAGATAGGAGGAAGAGTGGCAGTCATCTAACCTGGTAAATCAGGTGAGCAGGGAAAGAAGAGTGATTCTAATGGGTATTGGTTTTCTTCGGGGGGCAATGAAAACATTCTAAAATTCACTGTGTGGCCAGGCAGGTGGCATATGCCTGTAATCCCAGTAATTCAGGAAGCTGAGGAAGGAGGATGGGAAGCATCAGCAACTTAGTGAGGCACTAAGCAAATTAGCAAGACCCTGTCTCCAAAAAAAAAAAGGCTGGGGCTCAGTGGCAAAGCACTTGCCTTCCATGTATGAGGCACTGGGTTCGATCCTTAGCACCACACAAAAATGAAACAAATAAAATAAAGGCATTCTATCCATCTACTACTACAAAAAAATTTTAAAACAAAACAAAACAAAAAAATGCCAGGTGCAGTGGTGCACACCTGTAATCCAAGTGGCTCGGGAGGCTAAGGCAGGAGGATTGCAAGTTCAAAGCCAGCCTCAGCAATGGTGAAGCACTAAGCAACTCAGTGAGACCCTGCCTCTAAGTAAAATAGGGCTGGGGATGTGGCTCAGTGGTCAGGTGTCCCTGACTTCAATCCCCAGTAGCAAAAAAAAAAAAGTCTGGGGATGTAGTTCAGTAATTAAGTGCCCCTGGGCTCAATCCCCAGTACCAATAAATGAATAAATAGCTAGCTAGATAGATAGATAAAGAAATGAGAGAAAGAAAAAAAAAATTGGTTGTGATGGCTGTACAACTCTGTTAATACAACAAAAACACTGAACTATGTAGTTCATATAGACAAACTATATTTTAAGTGAATGATATAATAAACCTGTTAAAAAATAAAAAGAAAAGCAAAAAACCAACACAAACAAACAAGTACCACAACTGGATTAGCATCCATTTCCCTAACTAGACCCTAATTGACAAATGTCCCTTAAGAGGCTTGTTCTGGATTATGGAGAGAAGGGCCTTACCCAGTGAGACCAGGTTCGTGTAGTTTTCCAACATGACATCTTCATACAAATCCTTTTGAATGGGGCTTAGCCATTCCCACTCCTCCTGGGAGAAGTAGATAGCCAAGTCCCCAAAAGTCACTGGTGCCTGAAATGAAAAATCAAATGTCCATTCACCATGAACTTGTGCTTCCACAAAGCTGGAGAAAATGGTAGCCTCATCCCAACACAGATAACACATGGTACCAGGAATCATGCAGGGAGCACTGGGGGTTCTGAGGCTAAAGGGTGCAAGTGTTTTACATAAATTAAATAAAATGCAGTGCAATATGATATAACTGCTATTAAAAGAGTATGCCAGGTGTGGTGGCACACACCTACGATCCCAGAAGATAAGGCAGGAGGATCACATGTCCAAGGCCAGCCTGGCAAATTCAACAAGACCCTGACTTAAAAAATAAAGCCGGGCACGGTGGCACACACCTGTAATCCCAGTGGCTCAGGAGGATGAGGCAAGAGGATCTAGAGTTCAAAGCCAGCCTCAGCAACAGTAAGGTGCTAGTGAGACCCTGTCTCTAAATAAAATACACAACAGGGACAGAGATGTGGCTCAGTAGTTGAGTGCCCCTGAGTTCAATTCCCAGTACCCAAACAAATTAAAAATTAGAATCAAATAAAAAGGACCGGAGGTGTAGTTCAGTGGCAGAGTGCCCCTGGATTCAATCTCCAGTATGAAAAAACCCAAATAAACCAAAAAATATTATGTTGAATAAAAAGCGGACCAACTCAGACATGCTGGGAATTCACGAAGAAAGGCATCTTTAGCACCTGCCTAAACTGGCTCACTAGTGCTCCTGTGAACCACAGGTCCTGGTCCTGCCCCCGGGACCACAGTAACTATGCAGGTGAAGGATCTGAGGCCACACAGGCAAGGCAGCTGACTTAACAGGAGGACCTGGCAGTTTGGCTCCCCATTCAAGCTCCTAAGCACAGACTCTGTTAGAGAACATGTGAATAAGTTATGTATGACAAAAAGTTCCTTGCAGGTACACTAACCACTTAACACAGGGAGTCTGGCTTGGCTGTTGGTTATTGCTGGCTTAAAGATGGAAAAGGGGGGCCAAGAGAACATCATGAATATCAGAATACATATGTCAGAATACAGCTGACACCTTGACCTCAGCTCTAGAAGACCCAAGCAGAGAACCGCACTAAGCCATGTTGTGCCTGGACCCTGACCCATGAGACTGCACAATAAGAAACACGTGCTGAGAGGCCAAGTTTGAATTTGTCACAAAAGCAGGAAAGAATGAATGTCCCCAACACAGAGAGAAATGTGCTTGTTTTGGAAAACTGCTCCACACTCGTCCTGAAGACTGTTCCAATGTCCAACGGTGAGGAGTGCTGACCACAGGAGGCTAGTACACCGTGTGGCCCTGCCTGCAAAGCACCCACAGGTTCCTCTCAGACTTGGATCTTTGCTGGAGAACTCTACTGTGTGCTAATATGGGTTTTACAAGGAGAAACAAAGCCACCAATGGGACGAATATGAAGCACATGTTGAATCTTCTCTGCCTCCGCAGGTCTCACGTGGGCACTTGTCCCCACCCAGAGAAACCACAGGTTCTTGTCCTCCCCTCAGGAGAAGGCACTCTGCCAGCACTGCAGAGCCCCTGGGGATGCTGAACGGTCAGTCATGGGCCTACTGAGGAATGGGCACAGGGCCCTGGGCGCTTCCTGGGCCTCTCACCTCTCATTCTCCAATATTACTGGGAGAACACCAGGGACAGACGAGGAGTCTCCTACAGGCAGGAAGTCTCTGGAAGGAAAGCAAATGGCTACACCTTACGAAACAGAATGGACTATTCCTGAAAAGAGGAACTGCCACTTACCTTGGATTTGGATTTCCGCCGTGCAGCAGGCATCCTTTCCCTTACCTTCAGGCTCCACGTTCAGAGAGAGGCGGAGTGCTGGGAAGGCAGTGCTAGGGAGAAGAGAGGTCATGGGGTCAAGTGGACCTTTTGAGTGGTCCCAGAGTCCCCTGGACCCTCACCTGGACATGACGTGCAAATACAAGTGTTTGCACAGATGCCATGGTATCTGCAGCAAGCCTGCCCTCTCCCAAAGTCAGGCAAGGGGAGGGACTATTGGCCATGGCCAACAGTGCCCACTTTTAGGATCATGGCAGGCTCCTGATCGGGAGGCAAATGAGGAATGTGCTATTATCTCATTTTCCACTTGACACACATGTATTAAGCATCTAAAGGTGCCAGGCACTGTCCCTGGCACTGGGGAGAGCAACAAGCTAGGACAAACAGTACCTGCTCCCATGCCCCTGTACTTGCAACAGAGAAAAGCAACCCACATGGAGCACAATGACAGCCAAGGTCACTGCTATGAAGGGAAGAGGGCCAGTGTACGGAAATAGAGAATGATGTGGTGGTCAGGGAAGGCTTCTCCTAGAAGGTGACAGTGAGCTGAGGTCTGAATGCAGAAAGAATGTGAGCTACCAAGTCACAGAGGAGAGCTTCTGGGCAGATGTACAGCAGGTGTAAAGGCCACACAGCAGGCCTGGCTTGGTGAATAAGGAAGTGAGGTCATATATTGAAGCAGAGTGAGGTAGGAGGGCAGGAGGGAAACATCAAGAAGGTGGTGAGCAGTTTGGATTTGATCCTAAGTGCTAGATACCATTAGTGGAGAAAAGGGAGGGGCTGAGCAGGGAGCGACAAAATCTAACTTTACATTTAACAAAATGTTGGGGGGTGGCCATAAATTTGTTTGGGGGATGAGGAAGCAAGAGATGAAGCAGAAGTTGGTTAAATAGTGATACAATGGGGGAGGGTGGACAACATTATGCGGGGGAACAACAGTGTGAACTAGGGTAGGAAAATGCAGGGGAGATGGTCAAACCACCTCCTTGAGTTGAGGATGTAGCTCAGCGGTAGAGCTTGACTGGCATGCACAAGGCCCTAGGCTCAACTTCCAGCATCACAGTGAGAAAAACACAAAATACCCCCTCCAGTCTAAAGGAATCAGGCCTAAGTGAGCGACACGTATGCCATCCAGTATAAATGCCACAAGCCACAAATGATTAGCAATGGAAATAAGGTCAATGCAACCAAGGTATTAACTGTATTTGAATTCCAATTAATTCATTACTGAAACAACTGAATAGTAAATTCAAAAATCTCTAGATAAAAATCTATTATGAAATTAAAATGAAAAACTGATAATCCAGTTACCATAAGCTTTAAAGCATTTTTAGAACAATCTGGTGTATCACTCTATTTTCCCAACAGTCAATTTTATGAAATAAACAGACTTATTAGTATGAAAAAAGAATATGAAATACTTCACATACTTTTTTCTATTTGTTACAGGTTAAATGGTAATGTGTGGGATACAGTGACTTAAATAAAACGTGTCATTAAAATGAACTTTAACAGCATATTTGCTTCTTTTCACTTGTTTTCAACAAGGCTACTGGAATGTTTACATTGTACATGCTTCTATTACACCTATAAAGGACAGTACTCTTCCAAACCACAGAACCTATGTTCCAACATCACTCCTTTTTCTTCAGATCACTTACTGATTTTGTACTTTTCTAGTGTTGGGAGCCTCACACATGCTAGACAAGTGCTCTACCTCTGACCTAAGCCACCAGTCAGAGCATTTCCTGTTCATGCTTCCAAGGCCTGAGAAACACACCCAGTGAAACTGCCCAACCACCCTCTGGGTGCTGAACCAGAGGCAGAATTCAATCATTTTATGCTGAAACCATATCACAGAGAAACAGTTCTGCTGGCCACAGCCCTCTAACTTGTCCCCTGGAGAAGATCAGAGGAGGAACAAACTCTTTACTCTTCTCTGTAGAACACAACAGTAGCAAAAAGTAACAGCAACATATAAAGCTAACATCAATTAGTAGACATTGAATACTTACATGTATAGTTTGAAGCCATTGGCAACTTTTTACAGCAGCCACAGGAAACGAGTATAACAACCTTCCATTGTTTCCTTCCAACTCAGGAAACCCCCAAATGGACTTCTTTTTGCTTTGTCGGTGGCTTGATGCTGAAAAAAAATATGTAATTCAGAATTTCAGATATGCAGGGGGAAGTATGCTTGCTGATGGCTGAGACTAGCCTGTTAGGCCACTCCAAAGGGCCAGAAAGAGCACCAAAACACTAGCTCCTGCCTCAGTTTACAAGTGTAGCCCAACTCAACTGCAGAGTCGTGCAATTCTCTGGAAGACCTCCAATTCCACAGTTTTAAGTAAGATCTGGTAGAAACCTAGTCACACTGCCACATACTTGTCAAACCACTGACAGTCCTCAGCGGGGTCTCATGGACTTGATAAACAGCCACATCAGATTGTCAAGTGTACACACCAGAGCAACAGAAAAGCACGCAGGCCCATCACCCAGCACTGCTGCAGAATCCAGCGATCCTGGGCCCATCACCCCGGGTCAGAGAATCTCGCACCCACCAACCTTTGATGTGGCATCATCCTGTGACCCTAGACCCAACGCACCTCGCTGTCGCAGAATCGGGCGCAGTCCCAGGCCCATCACCCGAGGCACTAGCTCTCAGACACTTCCACACCAGCGTCCTGGTGGCGCCCACCGCCACAACTGCGCAATAACCCCCGCGCATGCGCGATAGCCTCCGGGACCCCGGCCCGCACGGCCCCGCCCCCAGGGCTTCCCCGAGCGGGAAGGCCCGCCCCCACCCACGGCCTCCGCCCGACGCCTCCCGCGGCCCGGCCCCTCAGCGTGAAGCCACGCCAGCGCGCTCACGTGAAGGGAGCCCAAGCCGCCAGCCAACCCGCTCCTCACCCGGCGGGAAGCCGCGTGCACGCGCCTCTGGGCTGAGGCCCCGCCCTGATGTGCTCGCCAAGCCATCTCTCCGCTCGCCGTCCGGCCGGCGTCCTCAGGCCGCGCCCCTGGCTGGTGGGCTTCGAGGCGGCTTTACTCACGGACCTGTCGGCCTGTAACTCTCACAAGCCTCCGGGCGGCACGACTGTGGAGGGCCTCGCCCAGGACGCGGGGCTAAGGAGGCTCCAGCCGCGCGAATTCCCATCTGTCCAGTGTGGCAAGAGCGGACCGAGAGAGGGCCAAGGAGACAAGACCGCGCCCTCGCAGACGGGGAGGCCCAGGCTGCTCTGCGCGGTCTTGGACTATGCTTCCCAGAAGCCCCCGGGCCCGCGCTCCTGTGAACTGCGCCTGCGCAGCGGGGAGGGGCAGGCGTGGTGGGGGAGGTGACGGGCGGTGGGGCTGGCGTGACGAGTGGCTGCGCGCGCATGCAGAAGTCCCGGTTTTGTTGGACGCGGGTTCCTTAGCACCCATTAGGTTTTTGCGCGAGCGCAGAGCTATGCGATAGCTTCCACGCCCCACAGAGATCGAGTCACGTGTGGCCCTTTTGGCTTGGGTGCTCACCGGTGGAGAGTGTGCGTGTGTTGCGCGGGCACTGGCCGCACTTGTCTGCCTGCGTTTGCACCAGGACTCAGTTCTTCAGCTGCAACACAGAAAGCCTGAGATGCTTCATTGGCTGTCTCTTTAGATCTCAGTTTTCGTGATTTATGCGTGGAAAGTCACGTTTTGCGACCAGGTGTGTTGAGACGCAGTTTTTGTGGTTGTTCAGATGAGCGCACAGCCCAGGGCTTGCATTCTCAGGCACGTGACCCTGTGAGTTTTGGAAACTAGGTATGGTGCTGGAGGAACCAGACCTGATTATTACGTGAAATTATAAGAACATTATGATGAAGAACCAATGCCTGAGGCAAGGGTTGTCTTTTCCCCCTCACCTCTGCCAGCTTCCCCTTAGGGAACCTAAATTAACCATGGGTCCCTACCTATTAGATTGTAAACGTCCCCGGACAGGTTTTCTCCTCCACCCCCCCACCCCCCGCCCAGGGAATTTTTCCTTATTTTTCTTTTTGTAAAGTCATTATTAAGGTACGGGTATAAGGGGTATCACGTGAAGCAGGAAATCAGACAATCCAAATAAACTAGAAATTAAACCAAATCCTGCAGGCAGACACATTCTTTCCAGAGCTGTCCTCAAAAGCAAGAATGGAAGACAAAACAAACAGAAAACCCCCACTCAGCTGCAGAAGGAGGCTGGGGTCTTGGCCTGATAGCTGTTAATGTCTTTATGAGAGGGCAGGCAGCCATTTTAAGTGCCTTTTCTGGAATAGACCAAGGATGATAAGTCCAGTTATTTTTAAGGCTTCAGTTAGCTCTGCGGCCAGCGGATTGTGGAGGGACACACCATGGTGGGAGTACACCCGGGTTTTCTCAGTCCAGTCCTACTGCTTGGGTCCAGGGGAAGGAGATGATAACCAGATTAGTTTGTTTGGGGTCTACCTGTTGGTCACACAAGTTCCTAGATCTCCACCCAGTTTAACTGTTAGGACACCACTCCCAAAGAGACATAGTCCTCCAGTGTACAGGGCTTGCCTGCAAGGTCTTCAGAAAACTCTGCCAAGGCGTCCAGCGTTTCCTCTGCTGGTCTTTCGTAGGCGGTTTCGTCTAGAGAGCATGGGTTGCCCAACGATCCTGAGTTCCTCAAAGGCATGAGATAAGACACTCTGCTTTTTGACATTCAGGATCTGGTTGAGGTAGTGCAGGTTCAAACTGGCTTGGCTGGGCATATAGGCCACAGCGGTCAACACCTGCAGTCCAGGGCGGCCACAAAACCAGGCAAGAGCTCCATCCACTGGATGACTCCCAGGAGGCTGGTGGCCATGCAGCGCAGGAACTTCCCTGGGACAGGTTTTCAAAGCCAGAGATTGAACAGGTGCCTGTCAAATAGTCTTGTTTCTTACACTTTGTGACTTTTTGAGCTCTATAGGAATGTGGCTACATCACTTAATGCTTGACCAATTAACTGCCATCTAAACTATAACCTGGTAGACTTACTTCTTAGAAATAAAGCTCTTAAGGAGGTAGGCTCAGTTATCTTGAATTACTGCTGCCTGTGGTGAAGGCCACTTTGGGCTAACACTCACAGATGACAGATAACTGTCTTTTTTCTACACCACTTATCATAAATTCCCTCTGCGTGGTCTTTGGTCATGTAGGCCAAGAATTCAAACCCACCAATGTTGTAATGGTTAACGGAAATTGTCAAGTTTCCTATAAAAGCCCCATGTAACCTCAACTTGAGGCCCAGAACTTAAGAGCACTAGCTCCTCTGTGTAACTAAGCATGAGTTCTCCAGCCCTTAGTCTCTTGCTGGGCTTGATTTCCATAGCAGTATTAAGAGTCAATGTACGGGGGGAGGGGCAGGGGTTGTGGCTCAGCCTTCCCTGCTAGTGTGTGGGAGGCGCTGGGTCTGATCCTCAGCACCATATAAAAATAAATAAAGGTATCCTATCCAACTACAACATATATATAAAATTATATATATTTATATACGGGGGGACTAGTTTTGGCTTCTCATTTGTGTAACCTGGTGGTGATAATAAAAAGATAATAAAATATAATTAAAAAGTAAAAATATTAAAAAAATAAAATGTAATTTTTAAAAAGATAATAAGAGCAGCTAATATATATGACTCTTGGGACTTTTAGTGTTGCTACTGAAACCAGAGCTTTAAGATGCTGGATATTCACTTCTGTTGGCCAATGGAGTTTCACTAGCTGCTCATCTCTGCAACTGAAATACCCCCTTAGTGTTAGCAGCTGCACACAGCAGGAGGGATCTTCAGCAGGAGCTTTGTGAGGGTTGCTGATAGTAAAGCTGGATTTTCCTGTGAGAAACTGATGTGACTCCATTTTTTGAAGAATAAATGAATAACAGCAGCTTCTACCTTAAAGCCTGTCCTAAGGAAGGGGGCGTGACCCTTGTCCTTTGGAAAAACCCACAGAGCACTCCTAATTACATATCCAACCTGCTGAGTTGTTTGTCTGTAAATAACAGGAGAAGTCTGTGGCTCCAGGTGTCCCTGACTCAGTCAGGCTAGGTGATGACCCATAGCAACCCCCTAGCAACCACCAATCAGCATGAGACAGGGAAAATACCTGTGATGCCAGGTGACCCCCCAGTAGTTTACAGTGATTGATAACAAGTTGGGGACCATGTAGTTCAGCATGTACACCCCTCGTGACCTAAACCAATCAGTTCAAAAGAATCCCCTTCTTGTACTAACCAATCACCCCTATCCATCTTGTTCCCGCCATTGAATGTGCTAATGTTAAGAGTAGTTGTTTGATTTTCCAGCGGTATGAAATGATTTGCTGTGTAATGTTGTGACGCATACAGTATCCCCCCAAAACCTATAAAATCTCACTGAACAAAGGACCGGGACTCACTCCCTGGGACCGCTGCATCGGGAACGGTTGTGAGTCCAGGCTTGAGCTGGCAATAAAGACTCTTGTGTGATTGCATCGGATTCGGCTCCTGGAGGTCTGTGGGGTCCCAGGAACCTGGCATAACACCTGCTCTATGAAGCCAGCAGTGTGTTGCAACAACCCCAGTAACTCGTGGCCAATTTCCTCCCTGGTTCTTGTCTCACAGACTTGAAGAATAAAATACACAGACAATCAGGAAAGGGAAGAGCCAACAGAGTAAGAGTAGGATTTAAGTAAGGAGAGAAACCCTGCGATGTGGGAGGGCCCTGGAAGCAGGACACAATTTTGATGTGCTGGCTTACAGATCTATATAGGTTTTGGGTTTGAGCACTGATCAAAAGCTATGTTAAAAAGGATTGAAAAAGTATCAAGACTATTATGTCCTTTAGCCTGAGTTTCAAGCATTCCTATAAGTCCTATTTGGGTTCACTTCTACCTTCCATTTCCCTGCCTGCTGGGTCAAAGGAGCTGGCTAGAGGAGTTCCCACTGGGGAGCCTCAGGTCTTTTACATTTGACATAGGCCTTGAGGGTGCCTGCTAAAATTTCTACTCATTAACCTCCAGGTGTGGTTTCTGCATTTGAACAAAACCAGGGGGCGAGGGGTGTCACTTCTGATTGCTGACCATTGACTATTCTTATTAACTACCGGCACGCTAGAACTGATGGGCTGTGTGTCCCTGAACAACAACAAAAAAATTTAAGATGGCCCTCAAGGTCTTGCTTCTTTCAATCCTCTTCTGAGTTTTTTCATCAAATATCTCCGTTTTCCAGGTGTATAAACTGACGCACAGGGACTTAAGTAATACCCCCAAGGTTGCCAGCTAGAAATGGTCAGAATTGATTTTGAATATGGGTCTTTTTTTCTTTTTCCCTGTGCACATTACGGTGTTTAAGATCTCTGGGCTCTGGGTGCCAGGAGCAGCTCCACCTAATATGACAATATAAAAAGCTTCAGTGCCAAATGTCCCTTGGAAATGCACAGTCACCCCTGCTGAGTACCACTGGCTTAGGCCACAGACAGATGGTTCACTCTCACTTTCTTTGTGAGACCTTGACCACTGGTAATCTTGCCCAGTAAGATGCTGCAGGCTGGGCTGGTGGGTTTGGTGTCTATGGTTGGCTAAAGGGCCACTGGAATAAAACCATCTCCTGGGGAGATGACCCAGTGCCTCAAAGACAGATCCCCTTTCTTCCTTTGCCCTCCTTCCCCCAGTGGGGTTGGCCCAAGCAGGAACTATTGGGCATCACGGAGTGGTCCTTGGCCTGCCCTGGGGGTGGGGCTTGAACATGTTGCCAAGACCATCCTTGCCCTACACTCAGAACAGGCCCTGAGCCGATGCCACCACTGCACTTGTCCCTGCAGTAGCTCACCAGCGTCTAACTGGTGGGTTGCACACTGTGTTCCTGCCTCTCTGCAGATGGGGGTCAGGGTCCAGGATTGAGTAGGGAGCACACAGATCTGTCCTTTTGGCCAAGGCTGGGGCTGAGAAGCATGCCCCCGAGATTTAATCTGCCTGTGCAGTCTGTGTGCAGTCTAGCCACCTCCAATCTGTTACCTCCAAATCTGGAGTCTCGTGGTTGGGTCTCTGTGTAGGTGAACATGTCATGTCTGCATGAGGCCTTGGAATTACATGGGGGAGAAGCCACTCTCTCAAGAGAGACTTAGAAGATTTAGATAGGCTGCCTGCACGTCCCTCTGGAGAACAGCTTGCCCTGGGTAGCCACCCTGTAGAGACCGGAAAAACCATGGCTGCCCAGGAAGGCTCCTTTAGCTGGCAGGAACATGCTGCAATGTAAACTTGCAGAAAAGTAGAAAAGTAAATGAAAGAATG